AATGCAGATATCTAAATATTTTGATTGGTTTGGTTTGGTTTGGATGATTTTATTTAGCGGCATATCAACCTCTAGACGTTATTTAATGCGGATATCTAAATATTTTGATTGGTTTGGTTTGGTTGATTTTGTTTAGCGGCATATCAACGTCTATAGGTTTTTTAATGCGGATATCTAAATCTTTTGATTGGTTGGGTTTGGTGGATTTTGTTTAGCGGCATATCAACCTCTATTGGTTATTTAACGCCGAAATCTAAATATTTTGATTGGTTTGCTTTGGTTGAATTTATTTAGCGGCATATTAACCACTATGCGTTATTTAATGCCGAAATATAAATATTCTGATTTGTTTAGTTGGGCTGATTTTGTTTAGCGGCATATCAACCTCTATGGGTTATTTAATGCGGATATGTAAATATTTTGATTGGTTTGGTTTGGTTGATTTTGTTTCGTGGCATATCAGCCTCTATGGGTTATTTAATGCCGAAATCTAAATATTCTGATTTCTTTAGTTGGGTTGATTTTGTTTGGCGGCATATCAACCTCTATGGGTTATTTAATGCGGATATGTAAATATTTTGATTGGTTTGGTTTGGTTGATTTTGTTTAGTGGCATATCAACCTCTATGGGTTATTTAATGCCGAAATCTAAATATTCTGATTTGTTTAGTTGGGTTGATTTTGTTTGGCGGCATATCAACCTCTATGGGTTATTTAATGCGGATATGTAAATATTTTGATTGGTTTGGTTTGGTTGATTTTGTTTAGTGGCATATCAACCTCTATAGGTTTTTTAATGCGGATATCTAAATCTTTTGATTGGTTTGGTTTGGTTGATTTTGTTTAGCGGCATATCAACCTCGATGGGTTATTTAATGCGGATATGTAAATATTTTGATTGGTTTGGTTTGGTTGATTTTGTTTAGGGGCATTTCAACCACTATAGGTTATTTAATGCCGACATCTAAATATTTTGATTTTTTGGTTTGGTTGATTTTGTTTAGCGGCATATCAACCTTTATGGGTTATTTATTGCGGATATCTAAATATTTTGATTGGTTTGATTTGGTTGATTTTGTTTAGCGGCATATCAACCTCTATGGGTTATTTAATGCCGTAATCTAAATATTTTGATTGGTTTGGTTTGGTTAATTTAGTTTAGCGGCATATCAACCTCTATGGGTTATTTAATGCCGAAATCTAAATATTTTGATATGTTTAGTTGGGTTGAGTTTGTTTAGCGGCATATCAACCTCGATGGGTTATTTAATTCGGATATCTAAATATTTTGATTGGTTTGGTTTGGTTGATTTTGTTTAGCGGCATATCAACCTCTATGGGTTATGTAATGCGGATATCTATATATTTTGGTTGGTTTGGTTTGGTTAATTTTGTTTAGCGGCATATCAACCTCTATATGTTATTTAATGAGGATATCTAATATTTTGATTGGTTTGGTTTGGTTGATTTTGTTTAGCGGCATATCAAACTCTATGGGTTATTTAATGCGGATATCTAAATATTTTGATTTGTTTGGTTCGGTTGATTTTGTTTCGCGGCATATCAATCTCTATCGGTTATTTAATGCCGAAATCTAAATATTTTGATTTGTTTAGTTGGGTTGATTTTGTTTAGGGGCATATCAACCTCTATGTCTTATTTAATGTCGAAATCTAAATATTTTTATTTGTTTGGTTTGGATGATTTTGTTTAGCGGCATATCAACCTCTTTGGCTTATTTAATTTTTTTATCAGTCGATGCTGTTGGTATGTTTTTAATTTTTTTTATTGCTCGTATTTTTACTATGAAAATGTATTTTTATATTTCATATAGCTTTTTTTCATATTGAGCTTCACTTTTTGCCCTTTCCTGTTTCTCTAACAGGTGCTACTACCCCGAATCAGGGTAGACCTGGAAACAGCAACTATCAAAAGGTCGTTACACGCCCCTCTACACCTCTAATCTCCTGATCAGTGGCCTTGCTGCCGGTTGTAGTTTATCGTTATACCCTGGACTATAAAGTTCTAAAAGGATATGGCACATCGTAAAAGATTATTGTTATCTCTTGTTAGTTCCTTATATATAAACAGTTCGGTTTAACATGCATAGCGTCGACTGTAACTAGATAGTGACTTGATTCTTAGACAAATTACTTGGAGCAAAGATTTTGAGCCTCAGTGAATACATGACTACTGTTGCCTTTTGCTCGACTAAATTTAAACTGAATCAATAAATGTTTAAGCTATTCGCATTGGAACGATCCTTTTGAACAGATTAGTAATACTGTAGGGAATTCGAGCCACACCGAGGGTACTAAATGCATGGCCTCTTACTGAACTAAACATGTATTTGGAGAGATTTTGATTGATTGGTTATGTTTCGCGGCATATCAACCTGTTTGGGTTATTTAATGCCGAAATCAAAATACCTTGAAAGCAATTTTATGGCTTCAGATAAATACATTTTGAACGGACAGATAGGCCTTCAACTAAAGATAAAAGCTTTTGTTGATCATTTTGCTATAAAATGTATTGTTGCTAATTCTACTGAAAATATATATTATTGGTAATTTTTTAATATTAAAATATAATGTGGGTTTATTTAGTATAAAAATTTCATAGTATTTTGTTTTGCTTTGTGAGTTCACTATTTGTCCGTAGCTGGGACCCTAGTTTGATTTAAGAAATTGTAGGATATTATTTGGCTTAATATGATGAAATTTCTTTTATGTTGCTTGTATGGCTAAACTGTAAACGAATTTGCGTGAAGTCGCTACAGGTTTTTAGTATGTGCGTACAGTTGGTAATTTATCTATAAAAAAGAATGTATTGCTGGTATTTATACTGTAAAATGTATTTTTATACTTTCATAGAATTTTTTTTTGGGGTGGGGGTTCACTATTTGCCCATATCTGGGACCCTAACAGGTGCTAGCATCTCGGGTCAGGATGGACCCAAGAATAATAGCAATTCCCATGTGGTTCCGTGATCCTCAAAACCTCCAATATCCCAATCAGAATTTTCGCTGCTGGATGTAGTTTGTCGTCATCCCCAGAAGTTTGGGAATTAAACTACCTAGCTGATACTTGATTAATTACCAGGTAATGACTGGTTGCGCTTTTCCAGGCATTCTTGTCTCTGGGTGGCTAAATAATCCCTGTTTCGGGAGCCTGCCCAGGCGCATTTGTGTTTCTCCAATGCACACAAATCCAACCCGTGGTTTATATTTTCAACTATACTAAACAGATCTTAGTTATAGATTCTGGGAAAGAGCGCATAAGCTGGCGGTAACCTCTGTTTTAACAAGACCCTCGGCCACGATGAATTGTAGCTTTGTACTTGCACAACCGCTAATGGCTTCGCAACAGTTTCAGCAAACTAGTTTAACTCATAAGGCTTGGGTCAACCTCTGCTATTGTTTTCAGTCACTTCCCATCGGTGCCGTATGCAAGCCGATGATGCCAAGAAGACATCTTGACAAATTGGGCATGGTGAGAATTCAAACCAGATTTCATTTTCGGAACGCTAAGGATCTAACCACCCAGTCATCCATCCAGGTATCTTTTATCTTATTTACTAGTCTAAATACGACAGAAGGATAAAACAGAAAAGAAGGAATATTATGTTGCGCCAAAATTCCAAAAATGGCGGTTCTACTTACCTTGAATTTTAAATACTGATTTTGCTTAGTTTTTTGTTAACCTCTAACCCCTATCATTGACGCCGGCAGTTAAAATGCAACGATCAGCTTCTTACAACGAACCGTTGAATTGTTGAACCAACTCCCAAGAGGGTACTTCCCCAATCACTACAATCTTAACCTGTTCATCTTTAGACTTAACCGTTATTTTCCCCACATATCACCAAAAACTGGGCCTTTTATTCTGTAACATTCTACCTCGAGTAGCTCTTGAGCCTTGTTCAGGGTGAGTGTCACTATAAAAAAACAGTTGTGGTTAATAGTGATGAAATTAAAATATTACTTGAGAATGTTATTTTATTGTTACAATGCTGTAGATAAACAATATATTTAAAATGTCAAGCAAAACGTTCAAAATAATTTGGTTTTGCTGTTCAGAAGAACCTTTAAAAAAAGGCAAAGAAACACAAAAAAAACCCAAAAAAACAAACAAAAAAAAAAAATACAAAACCGATTGGCCATATTCCTGTATGTGATTTTCTTTTTAAACATAAAGAAATTTTCCTTTTTTGAAGCCAAATGAGACGGATAATGGAAATGTATATTTTAAAATCTCTTGGAACGCAATAGATCGTTGGAGCAATAGGCGAACCACCCCAAACTATAGCAAAGCCCAGTTTTCAGTCAAAGAATTTGATGTCGTTTATGAATGGGATCAAAAGAACCATTTACTTTGGGTTATTTTCAATGAACCAAACAATTGATTCGAAGGACGACCATTCTAAATAAACATCCGAAACTTGTTAACAGACTGAGTGGGACACAATTAAAGTTTCTTCTTTTGTGTGCAAATTTTTCAATAACTTTTATTGCGATTTCATAAATGTTGATAATCGCAAATCTCAGTAGATTTATTTTCTTTTCACTATCTTCGAACCAGTGTCTTCTTTTTCGTCGTCTTTGTCGAATGATTCTGGTGTCGTGTTAGTACACATCGAGAACGTTTGATATTTCTACTGATGTCAGCGAAATAGCTAACTCAGGAAAGTAGTTTTGCGAGATAGAAGTTGTAGTAGCAATCTACTTAGAATAAACATTTTTCAATTTGCTTTTGTTTGTTTAACAATGCAATTGTCACCCGCCTTAGACATGTAGATATTACTTGGCCCAGAACCCATGTTTTCTGATTAAAATATAAACGGGAAAAATTACTATTGCGAAATACCAAAAGAAACGCCAGAAGTACTGGTTGTTGTTTTACAAAATGGCCTTTCCTGGACGTGACGTCACGTGAAAACATTTACTTGGAACGTTAACAGATATTTGGAACAGCTTTTCTTTTCCGTTATGCGAAATGTAGGAGAAAGTCTCCACTTACACGTTCCTTTTATTTCTCTTTTTTGTTATATTCTGTTGTAGGGCCAATATTTATAAACCGGTAAAAGCAGACGACGTTGTTTTCGTCCATCGATTTCACGTCTGTTTGTTTGTCTGTATAAATTTGTTTTTTTCTTCTTCTTTTTCTGTATTTCTAATTATGTATCTATTTTCTTCATTCGTGTACATCTTTCTTTCTTAAGAGTAGAACCAACAGATGTTGTGGTCTCCGCTTGGCCCAGACCCATTTCTATGTGAATGGAAAACGTTTCTGGGGAGACCGACAAAGTGTTACGCTTCTTAAAGGGGAAGAATACGGCGCCAAAGCTTTACAAAAAAAAAAGACAGGTTATTGTGACGTGGGGGGGGGTCACAGCATTTTCTCTGATAAACTACGCAGTAGATGAGAAAGACTATTACAAAACAACAACATCATTAACAAATTATCAAGTTTGATGATTTGTTTACATCTTTCGTCATTTTTTTCTTTTTTAAAGTTTTTTTTTTCATTGTTGGTTTTCTTTTTTTTCAATTTGAGATTTCGGTTAGTTTTCTCTGTTTTTGGTTGTTTTCTGTTTTCTTTATCTTGATTTTCCTTTTCCAAATCTAAGTGAATTTTTAATTTTCTTTCTTTCTTTGGTGTTTCGGAAATTTTTCTTTATTTGTTTTCTTCATAATTTTCTCTTTTTATTCTTTTTTTCTTTCTTTGCTTTTTTCTTGCCTTCCCTTTCTTTCATATCCCCCTTTATTTCTTTGTTTATCTCTTTCTTTCTTTTCCTCATTTCTTTCTTTCTTTCTTTCTTTCTTTCTTTCTTTCTTTCTTTGCTTTTTTCTTGCCTTCCCTTTCTTTCATATCCCCTTTATTTCTTTGTTTATCTCTTTCTTTCCTTTCCTCATTTCTTTCTTTCTTTCTTTCTTTCTTTCTTTCTTTCTTTCTTTCTTTCTTATTAACTTTTCTTCCATTGTTTATTCCTTTCCGAATACTCTTTTTTTACGGCTTCCTTTCATTGCTATGAAATCTTTCTTTCTTTCTTTCTTTCTTTCTTTCTTTCTTTCTTTCTTTCTTTCTTTCTTTCTTTGGTGTTTCGGAAATTTTTCTTTATTTGTTTTCTTCATAATTTTCTCTTTTTATTCTTTTTTCTTTCTTTTCTTTCTTTACATGCAGATGTATTTTTTGTCTTTACGAATTTTTTTCGTTTCGAAATTTCTCAGATTTACTTTACTTATTTTATTGATATATTTTCATACGTGGATATATTCTCATTTTTAAATTTACCCACTTTCGTTCATTTTCTTTCTTTCTTTCTTTCTTTCTTTCTTTCTTTATTTATTTATTTATTTACTATTAAATTTTTTCCGTTCTTTATTCCTTTTCGAATTCTCTTTTTTTACTGTTTCCTTTCATTGCTATAAAATCTTTCTTTCTTTCTTTCATTCTTTCTTTCTTTCTTTCTTTCTTTCTTTCTTTCTTTCATTCTTTCTTTCTTTCTTTCTTTTTATTTCACAATTTTGTCTTTTTATATGTTACCCTTCTTTTTTCTTTTTTCTTTCTTTCTTTCATAATTTTGTCTTTTTATACCTCGCCCTTCTTTCTTTCTTTCTTTCTTTCTTTCTTTTCATGTTTGATTTTTTCCTTTATTTTATACTTTTCTCTCTCAATTTCATTGATTTTAGTTTCTTTTTCTTCCTCTTTCCTATCCTCTCCATTTTTATTCTTCTTTGTTTCATTCATTCATCCCTTTTTCTACAACCAGCGTCATTCAATCTTAGTTTATTTCTTTGTTTATATTTTTCCACATGATTTTTTATTCAATTTCTTCTTTCTTTCTTTTTCTTTCTTTCTTTCTTTCTTTCTTTCTTTCTTTCTTTTCCAAATTCTTCTTCTTAAAATTTGTCCTATTTCCTCTACAGCCTATCTTCACTTGTTTCTTTTTAACTTCATTCCTTCTCATCTTTTTGTAAAACCATTTAAACTCGCTCCGTTCCTTCGTTTTCTCAGACAGAGACACTTACAAACCAAATTTCCTACAATGTTTCCATAATTCCTAGTTTTCATCCGCTTACAGCTATCAGCAGACGACCGCTACGTAATCCTTAACAGACATCTCTATCAAAATCAGCGAATAGGAATAAATGTATTCATCATCAATTTTTCTTTGACAAGCGCATCCCTGAATATCCTGCAGCTCAATATGCTTCCCAACCAGCGACAAACAATAATAAACCTTTGAAAGACAAGGGAACTTTCTCCTTTCTCAAACCACGGAGCTTTTCTCGGATATTGTGTGCCGGTTTCTATCTAGTCATCTTTTGTAGAACTCTCCGACGTTTGAAGATTAGAATTCTTTCGAAATCGTAAGAATAAATTTCTAGTTTCCGCCCTGCTTTGTAGAGTCGATTGTAAGATTTTACTTATATCTATGCGGTTGAAAGAAAATGTTTTCATGTCGGTCGTCAGCTGAAGAAATCGCATGAAGACTGATAGATAGTATGTTATCAAATGAAAATTCCTGATTTTTCCAATGTTTAATGAAACATTAAAACTGGAAGTATGATCTGGGATTGTAATAACAGCAGTGATGCCACCTACCCTGAATCCGTTATAAAAATTCAACATGATGAATTGATGAATTCTAAAAACTTCAAATAATCCTAGCCCAGTGGTTACCAAACGACGTGGCGCGCTTCATAAGTGAGGGGGAAGAGGTTAGCAGGTGAGGCGGAATGATTGAAAGGCAATCCATTTAGAAATAGCTTCAAAAAAATTATATGATAAAATAAATGATTTCAAAATTTAAAATATTATTATGGTTTACTTGTAATTGCATGCATGAGTCCCAATATAAATATTTGTGTCTGCTAATTGGAGGAGTGTGTTATCAATTGTTATATTCTGACTTTGTGCTATACCATAATACCTATCCTATTATAATAGACTCTCCCACAGATAATAAGTAGTAGTAGCGGTCGCCAGTTGGGCTCAGTGGTGTTGAGTGAGTCTGTAGGACATTGAAGTATCAACCATCACAACTAGATTGCTGCGTCATTAACTCTTATTTTTCAAGTTCCTAACGTTTTGTACGTCGAACCTAATTTAGGACGACTTATTGAAATACAAGCCTCCACTGTGAAAACTACTCTACAACACTTTGAATCTGCAGTTATCTCCCTTTAATCCACTCTCTGGATCTTCTTTGTCATAGGGATGCTTGCACCTTTTGACCGGGGCTTCCCTTTGTTGAGGCACGATCAAATTTTAATTCCGATAATGCGGCCCAGAGAAAAAAATGTTTGGAACCACTTGTATAGAGGAACCCCAGTATATATATTTAATATTACAGTTAGGAAAGTTATGGTGTGAGCCGTCTCAAATGGCGTACGTAAGAACTGGGTTTTTGATTTGAGAGTTGAGTTTAATTGAAACAACACTTCTGTATAGTTCTGAAGTATTTATTTATGTGTGTTCCTAAGATACAGCTTACACTAGTGATTCCCAAATGGAGCGGCACATCTCATAAAGGCAGCGAAAGAGACAGAATGATTGAAAGACAATCAAAGATTTAGAAACAATTAAAAAAAAAATCTATATGGCTGTTGAGGGGTTCTCCCCTTTTTACCCAAATGGACTCACCCAGGGTATACATATACTACTGCTAGTGAATACCCGGGGAAAAAAAGGACGAACGAGCGACGAACCAGAACGAACGTAAAGAGCAAGAGTCACAGTGAGCAAGCACGTAGACTCAGTCATACAGTTATACGTCGATACCAAAGACTGTATATATATATATATATATATATATATATATATATATTGCTACTAACCCGCATTCCTGGAACTACTAACCTGCATTACCTGTTTGTATTATTACATTAATGCATTTATTTTCCTATATTCCTTCTTGGCGTTTGTTATTTATTGGTACCGGATTTCATCCCGGAATCCACAACAATGACAAATATAAATATGATTTCAAAGTTTAAAATATTCTTGTAATTTCATGCACGAGTCCCAGTATAAATAGTTCTAAATAATTATTGACCGATTTTATCATTGTGACATTTTTGCATTATATCAAGTATTAAGAATATAGTAACTAGGGTCTGCAAATTGGAGGAGAGAGTTATCAATGATAATGACCTCGCATCCACGGTTATATTCCATTAGCCATTTCTCTGTTTTTTTTTTAAGCACTTTTTATCATATTGTTATGGTGTAGAACCATAGAAAGATAACACGGACTCGGATATATGGTTAAATAGTATATTCTCGGAAACGTAGTACAAAGGTAAATGTGGACTGGAGAGTACTTTCTCTCACTGGTGTCCTGACTCACTCATTCACTCACTCTATGGCTACGACTCGGTGACCCTCACATGGTGCCCCCCCTTTACTCAGAGTTGGTAGCCATGTTATATAGGTTTGGAAGAGTCCATTTGTAGGTAGGTCCCTACAATACATATAAATTTGGTTTAATTCCGAAAATACTGCCAAAAAAAAGGTTAGGAACCACTGTCTTAGACTGTGTTGTAATAAAATAAGTACATCCCATCACCCCACTCGGTTGGAATTATCCACTATAATAAAACAAACGTTTTCAACGACAAAAGCTGAATTAGTCAAATAAAACTTCATAAGCTTCTATTTAGAGCTGTTGCAATATTCCAAACTAATTGCCAACTGAAGACAAGAGAGCTATTGCTATTTTACCCATAGACGGAGGAAGATGGAGTCATCTCATTTACATGGACATTAGCGTGAAGTGATGAAATAGAATTAACTTAAGTTTGAACTCGGGTCGTCTCTTTCCCTTTTCGCGAATCCAAGTTTAATATAAATTGTTGAGAAAATAATAACGGATTTTGACGGTGAAATAAAAATTCCATTGAACATGTTGCGGTATGCGCATATTGGCGTGTCATATCCCGTCTGGAGGGCAGCGATCTGCTGCGGAACTGCTTCTAGCTTAAGTAAAAACAGTGGCAAACGAAATTTACACTTGTAAACAACGAGACATCATTACTTGTAGAGATGAAAGGAAATGGAATAAATTCTAACAAGGCGATATTTACGTGTTTTTATACTTGACTACTAAATTATTAACAAGCAATAAAATCTACTTGTATGCATGCAAAAGTAGTTGAAAAGTAGAAGACATTAAAATTTAGTTATTAGGAAATGTGCGTATGTCTGTATGTTTGTGGGATACACATGCGTCAGTGTCATAGAGTTCTATCACCCACGGGGAAAGATATTCCCAAACTGGTTGGTTGGTTGTTTGGGGTTTTATGGCATATCAACCACTATGGGTCATTTAATGCCAAATCCAGTTTGCACATATATATTAAATATATATATACTTTGAAAACATAATTTGAGGATAACGTCCTTAAACCACAGCTTGTTTATTCTTATTCAAGTAAATGGTTTCAAATGTTTCTATCTGGCATGAGTTTGTTATTTATATTAAATAAACCAGGTCATTTGCATAGCCAATTGATGTGCTTCTTCACTACCAGTTTTATTTGCAGTGAAAAAAGACCCAATGTAGTATTAATAAATATGGTATTGTTTGAAATATTGTTTGAATTTAATGAAGGTTGTTTCTTTTAAGAAGGTTTCTTGTAGGCAAACTATTTTGGGGTTATGGTTGGAAAACAGGTTTAGTTTTTTTTAGAAAGAATGGAAACTGATGAGCCGAGCACTAAAAACAAGTCAAAAAAGAGCAATAAATCCAATTCAGACAAATTGCACATCAAACAATGAAATTGCATAATAATGCAATCCTGCAGCGGAATTGAATAGGAATCCGGGCTAATTATGAGGAACTTCAACAACTTCTGTCCCAAGCTGGGAACAAGACCTGTATTGGTGTTGTCATCGGGAACGTACCAACTGGTTGTGATATGTGGTTTTAGTTGAATTAAAACTAGTGGCAAATAAAAGTTAC